GAATATAGTGTTGACCAGGGGACAGGGGGACATTGCGAGGATGTTACCCAGGGAAGGAGCACCTTGTCTGGGCATGTTGGAAGGTGTTGGTGGGTTCCATGGAGGGTCTGAAAATAACAACCAGGGGACAGGGAGACATGNGGTGGGTTCCATGGAGGGTCTGAAAATAACAACCAGGGGACAGGGAGACATGGCGAGAATGTCACCCAGGGAAGGAGCACCTTGTCTGGGCATGTCGGAAGGTGTTGGTGGGGTCCATGGAGGGTTTGAAAATAAGAACCAGGGGACATTGCCAGGATGTTACTCAGGGAAGTAGCACCTTGTCTGGGCATGTTGGAAGGTGTTGATGGGTTCCATGGAGGGTCTGAAAATAATAACCAGGGGATGGGGGACATGACGAGAATGTTACCAAGGGAAGGAGCACCTTGTCTGGGCACGTCGGAAGGTGTTGGTGGGGTCCATGGAGGGTCTGAAAATAAGAACCAGGGGACAGGGGGACATTGGGAGGATGTTACCCAGGGAATGAGCACCTTGTCTGGGCATGTTGGAAGGTGTTGTTGGGGTCCATGGAATGTCTGAAAATAATAACCAGGGGACAGGGGGATATTGCGAGGATGTTACCCAGGGAAGGAGCAACTTGTCTCGGCATGTTGGAAGGTGTTGGTGGGGACCATGGAGGGTCTGAAAACAAGAACCAGGGGACAGGGGGACATGGTGAGGATGCTACACAGGGAAGAGGTTCCTTGTCTGGGCATGGAGTGTTGCCAGAAGTGGGTGGTAGTCCCCTATGACAATGTTGTGTGAGTTCTTGCATAGTTGCATCATACAGTATATGATGCAATGTGTGAGAACTCACTCTGGATGATGTGTGTTTCTAAGTACAAACCTGGTGGACTGGTCTTGACCTTAGAACTTAAAGTCTATTGGTCTGACAATAGCTTCTGAGTTACAGCTTTCTAGCTAAAGGCTAACTTGCTAAGAGGGGGGTAAAAGTACCGCAAACTGTTGTCACACTTAGTGTTCGTGGCTGAAATGCAACACTTTTCAGGTAAAAACATTGGATAGGAAGTGGTACAGCTTTCTAGCTAAAGGCTAACTTGAGGGGGTCCTGAAGAAGGGCGGACCGCCAGGTGCGGTCCTGGGCTGTGGGTGGGCTTGGGGCTTGGACTGTTGCTAGGGGCGGGGCTGGCTCTCCATCCTCCCTGGTGCTGCTTGGTCTCCTGAGGTGTGGTTCTTGATTCCTGTGGGTAGCCCCCTGACCGGGGTGGCTGCCGGGTTCTGGGGGGTGGACGGCTGGGGTGGGCACTTGGTCGTTGACGGTGTGGTGGGGTGGTCATGGATGTGGCTTCTCTGCGGCGGGGGGCTGGCCGGGCGTCCTGGTGCGGCCYGGGCCGGGCCTTGGCTATCTGCTCCTCTCCACCTCAGAATGATTGGGTTTACCTCCTGGGTTAGGGTGTGTGCTGCCTCCAATAGGGGGTGGGTGCATGTCCTGGACCTGGGAGCATAGAGTGTGTATCGGGGGTGTGAGTGGAATGTGGTGTACTTGTATGTCTTTGATTGAGTGGGGGTGAGGATGAGGGTGGGATGGTGCGATTGTGTATGTTTGGGTATTTGTCAGGCTGCGATCTGGGCTGCCCCTACTGCTGGTTTATCTGGAGGCCCGCTGCTACTCGGCCCCCCGGTGGGATGTGCGGCTGGCCGCCAGCGTGCTGGGGGTTCCCGGGTTCTGGGGCTGGGCGCTGGGGTGTGTGTAGGCCCGGCCTGGTGACTGCCTGCTGGGGCTCGGGGCCTCTGSACCTGTCGGGCTTTGGCCTAGAGGGGGTGCACCCTGGGGGCCCGGACCTCTGTGCCCTTTCCTGGATCTGCTCTGGTATGGCGGGTGCCGGTGGGGCCCATGAATTTGTTGCTGCTGGCCCGGGGGCTGTGCATGTGGTCGCTGGGGGGACTCTCCCAKTTCTCCCCTATGGTCTGATCTGGGGGGTGGGTGGGCAGATCTTCCCGTGCGGGTGCCCCTTGGGGCTCTGCGCTTGGGATCCCTCTCGGGCCCTTGGGCTCTGGTCTTCCCTATGCCTGCCTCGTGTCTTGGGGGTTGGGTCTCCGATCCTCCACAGTCACTATTAAATATTCAATTGGAGAAATCTTGTATATCACAAACAGGTGCTCCGATCCGGGGGGTTCTGACTGGTCACTGAGTGTGTATATATGTCTATGTGTATATACAGACAATATTTATGAATGTAGGCATGTACTGTATGTATGTATATCTTTATATATGTGTGGGTATGTGTATATTTTTTATATGCCTTCTGTGTATTTATCCATTTATTTTTCAGGTGAGCGGACAGATGTTGGGTGTGTGGTCCTGTGTTTTGTTGGTGTATATTTAATATAATCCTAATCGCTATTTCAGTCTTTCTATCTTTCTAATTACTTCTCTCTCTGTTTTTCTCTCTCTCTATTTTCTCTTCACAAAAAAACAAAACAAAAAAAACAAACAAAAAAAACATAATGGTGTGGAGGGGATGGCTATAAGGGGAGAAGGGAGGCCATCCATAAAAAAAAAATAAATTGTGTCTCCTGGAT